CACAAACTGTAGTAGAAAAGATTGATTCAGCAGCAGTTAGTATAGATATATTATTTTTTTTCAATCAAATTACAAAACTGAAACATTGCTTTCAATAATAATTTGTAATATAAATGCATTACGTATATAACATTGATTACAGCTTTTTAGATTTTTGGTTGAGGGACAGTTTGACCTTCCTAAAATATGTGATTCAAGTTCGTTTATGTAAAAAATCTGAGCTATATTGAAATGCTCTTACAGGACCGACCTGCTGAAAATCGATATTGACTTGCGAAGACTATGACAAACTGCCTATGGTAATTGTTTGTGTGATTTTTTATATTGTTTTTTTTATACCTTTTTATTCCAGGAGAGACCGCACAAATACAGCTCACTGAAATTTAGACTATGAAAATGCATAATGGTAAAAAGAGAACTGCCGCTGCCGCTTTTGAGCGAGACATCACCTTTGAAAGACAAAGAAAGTTAAACAGTTTGAATTTTGTGTTTTGTCACGAAAATATCACATCTTTTTACAACATATCTTTTTGTGGCTGTTTTAGTACTGTTTAGAAAATTACAATCCAAGTATACGAAGTTTGAAAGGAGGGAACTTTTGATGTAACTGTTGAATAGTTCAGGCTATTATGTGTCACATGACAGAATGGGACAATTCACATTTATTTATATTCTTACAAAATATTAAAAAGAAATGTGGCCACGACTTTGAATACGTACAAGAAAGTGGTCCGGCAATGTCATTGCTGATTTCTGTTAGGATTAAAGAAATGTCACTTTTTACTCTATATAAATTTGATGGCGATAAACCAATTGCAAATGACTTCAAATGCATATATTTTCACTTACATTAAACATAAGCTTGAACGTTTTGTTATTTTGATTACACCTATCCTATTATGGTTGTGAAATTTGGGGATTTAAATTGAAAGAGTTCATATGCAGTTTTGCAAGCAACTTCTAGGAGTTCAAAGATGTAACCAAAATGATTTTATTTATGGTGAACTTTGGCGTATTTCCAAACTTTGAGATATTTAAAGATTGTTAAATATTTGGTAAGGTTATATATACAAATGATCATAAGTTTTACAAGAAAATCTGTATTTCTTACTTAAATGAGCGTGAAAGGTGTCCTAACAAGAAAAGCTGGTTTTCATTAATAAGGGACATTGCATGTGAACTTGATTTCTATGAAGTTTTGTTTGTTTAAGCTGTAGGTGATAAGGAAATATTTTTGTACTGTTTTAAGCAGAGATTGACTGATAATTTCATACAAAACTAGAATAAAAGACTTAACAGTTTCTCTAGAGCTCTATTTTATAGAAACATAGCTAGCTTTAGGTTACAGCCCTACTTAAATCTATGCAACATACAACAGTTTCGTTTTAGCGTATGTCATCTCATAGACTAAATATTGAAAGAGGCAGGTTAACAGAGCCTACTACAGCGAAAATGTAGTATATACCAAGTGTGAGAAGATGAATTTCATTTTATTTTTTATATCCCTAGGATATTTAGATATAGACCAAATATGTATAATTTATTCACTTTATTACATCTAAAAATGAAGTTTTATTGACAAAGTTAAATGTGTATGTATATAAGGCATTAATTTTATGATTCGCTCTGCTAATTCATATAGCAATAATGTTGAAACAAATATGCAATGTTAAGAATAATAGGGCCTTTCAAAAAGTTAAAAAAGTTAAAGCTTAAGTGTATATAGACAATACAGATTTATATAGGGGTATTTAGAATTATATACAACTACTATGTTTTGTAATTTAAGGTCGGATTTTTACATTATAGTGATGTTAATATACAAATAAAAAAATGGTTAATATACAAAAATGATTGTTAATGGAATATTTTTCCAGAGCATTATCACTTATCAGGGTTTTGTATGGTGGCAACCGATGCAATATTTTCATGAGTGGTATAGGCAAGAGTGGAAATATAACAGGTTGTGTATGCGTGCAGAATGTGCTTTTCTCTTGTATATAAGCAAAACAAATTTTCTACTGGTTGTATGCTTGTAAAGTGTTTATGGTTCAATAGATTGATCTTTGGCATGTGATGTCAAGTGATCTCTAATACGACCTTAAAACATGAAGTAACATTATCCGAATGTTATCTCAAAAGTTTCTTGAATTCTGTTAGATATTAAAATGATTTTGCATATTTCCTAACTATGATATTTCGAATTGTTTGTTATATATATTTTCTCATCCGCACTCGAGTAAAGGTCAACCGCAGGTGTATACAATGTAATATTCCCGATATATTTTGATTGTTCATAGCGAAGCATATTATAAATATACTTAATAGGCCATGCTAAAATTGAACTTTTAGTTTGTGGTTTGACAATTATGTGCAAATATGTGCACTCATCATTTAATTTTGTATGATTTAATAAATAAATGCGAATGAATATAGTATATCCTAAACAGTACTTCAAGATTAGATGTTGGTCTTGTTTGTAACTATGAGATTTAGAAATCTACAATATTATTACAAGATGCTATGATGTAGTAACCTTCATTATGTACACTGTATAAAATTTTGTCCTCATGGGCCTTTGGCCTTTAGGACGCTTCTGAAATAAACTCTTAAACACTCTCTATATTTATGATACAGACAGTTTGTAAGTTTCATTTATGTAAAGCGTTTCATAACACATCTGTTTCAAATTTCAGATAGAAATGCTTGCTCGTTCAAGACTCAGTAAAATGTTATGTTTAGATTTTCAAATGTTAATATACATTTCAAATTAAGTTTAGGTTAAAGTTTATTAGTACGTATTTACAAAAATAAATTTTAACCGGCTTAGTGTTTTTAATTATTTTTATACACTCTTTACATGTCTCCGACCTGTCGATATCGGCGATGATCTTTTACCGCCTTATGCAAATTAGAATCTCTCTTCGCTGCCACTTAAATCGTGAATGTCAAGGATTATGTTTAATATTTATAATTATGATGTTTATATGGACATTGGGATACGCATTAATGATGAAGGATTGTGTTTACTGCTTTAACATATTAAATTAAAATCGTCTTCGGACTTATAATTTGTTAGAACAAAGTTAGGTATCTGTCCAGCATTACCTTGTTTTTCAATGTTGCTCTTTTACTTTAATTTTTAATTGAAATATAGGCCTGAATGTAACATCTTTTCTCATTTTTATTAAAAATCTCATAGCAGTTTTTCGACCCTTTTTATTGTGAATATAATTCAGTACCAGTAAAAATTTTATCCAAAAAAAATAGAACTTCCCAACCTTTTCCATGTGGTCTGAAAATATATTATTTAAAGTATTGATTTACCTGAAATGGGGTCTCAGTTATTGCACATGGGCGTTCAAGCTAGAATTCCTCAGGTGTTGTCACAAGTTCTCTAAGGTAACTTTAAACAACATGCAAAACTTCAAAACATATAAATCGCTGTACTATTTTCATAGTCTCTCTGATTTGATGAAGTAATATAGATGCCCTTCAGGTAAAATAGACTGTACTGGACGAAAACGATGAAGGGCCGGAAGACTGCTAGAAACCAGTAATATTTTCATTTTAAACGTTCAGATTAAAAACTCGGATTAAAGAAAAACTGTTCACCATCTATTACATATTTTTTTGTTTCTGGAGAGAAAAGGTGAGCTAATAAATATGTTTGTTTTCACGACTATTTTCTCTTTAATCTCATGTAATTTTATGACAAAATGTCCACGATATTATAAGACGAGTGTCTAAACTAACAGCTGATCTCTTGTGCATCGCACAAATGTAAACAAAAACCCAATATCACTATAGCCCCGCCTCCAAGGCACACATGCGAATAGCGTCGGTAAATCAGTTCATTCGATTTATCTGGTTAGTAGCACTAGTTGTTTAAAGCAGATTTACTAAAATAAATTCTTTCAAAATTTGAAAAATACTGCCATCTCAATAGATAAAAATAATTTCAAACACTAATCATTTATAATATCAAGAATCAGAATCTTATTTTTTTTATAATTTCCAGATTACTTTCAATAATTAGTCACGCGGGCTTAAGATAGTATAACCAATCATATCATATATCTATCTTGTGAATAATTTATTTTCTATTCTTCCAATTAGGCCAGTTGTAAAATTATAAAAATGTTTTAACTTCTAAATGGATTTGACAGTATGACAGAAATGTACATGTGGTAAGCGGTGATATTACCGTCAATAAAATCACAGTATAAAAGTTTAAGTTCGTTTAACACATTTCCACATGTTTCATAATCATGTGATTTAACTATCCTTGTCAAAAGGCTAATCTCGGACGAGTTTGTAAAACACACTGCCATAACGCTGTGACAAATGTGGATCATGCAAAATGTGCTCTTTCATTTTATCTATTTCTTACAGTGCGATGTTATAAATTCCTCAGGTACTGTAACAGAAATATGACCAATCGTTTTCGTCCTCCTCATTACCTCAAATGTGTCCAATAACTGCAAGGTTTTATTATAAGCAGAGCAACGTCGTTTGCTCAGCGCTTTGCGATGTTTATTGATCTTTACTCACAATTTCTTTTCCATGTCGAGACTTTTCTATTTACATGAAACATAAAAATAAAAACAACATTTTTTTTTGTATACTATCCGAAGCGCAAAAGTTTATTACTACTATTTATATTAAGTAAAATAAAACGATAATCCCCTTAAAATGACAAATTCTAAAGACAACCGCAGATCTTATAGATTATTATATTAGTAAAGTAAAGTAAAGTAAAGTAAAGTAAAGTAAAGTGTAAAGTATATTAAAGTATAGTAAAGTGTAAAGTAAAGTAAAGTAGTTAAGTAAAGTAAAGTAAAGTAAGTAAAGTAATTAAGTAAGTAAGTAAATAAGTTAGTTAGTTAGTGTGTTTGTGTGTTTGTTAGTTAGTGTGTTTGTTTGTTTGTTACTTAGACAGTTATAAATCTAGTAAATTAGTTAAGTCACATATAATTATGTGTACAACGAATAAAAGGACCCAGTATATTTTGTGTAAGATTTTTTGTAAATTAAGCTTCAGATAAATATGTGGATAGAGTAACAGTAAAAAAATAATTTGGAGAGAACGATTAAAGAGCTAGTTAGTTAGTAGTTGGTTGGTTAGTTAGTTACAATGTAGTTAATTAGTTATGTAGCAGATAATAATGTGTATATCGAGTTTAAAGACCAGTTATTAGATACTGCGGAATGCTTCTAACATATTTATTGAATTTTCTTCAAACTGTTTGGAGTTTAACTGCTTGTCACATGACAACCAATTGATATGACAGATATAACTAGAAATGCAAAGGATATACCTAAAATATTCCGCAATATTTTGTAAAATAAAAATGATTTTATGACAAAACCACTTACATACTAAGAAAACTTACAAACTTTTAAATGTTCTTTTTTACCGATGCGTGAACACTGTTTATTAAGCTAGCTTAGCAATATCTGACTTGTTATGTAACCAAATCGGAAAGTGCATGAATTGATGATGTTTTTATTTCAAAATACATGTTTTGAAATTAGAAAGAACCAAATTGACTGAAATCTGCACACTTAACGCCAACCACCGGAACTTATAATTTGAATATAAAAAAGATTTCTGCACAAAATACAACTTATCTTTGACTATTTCAGAGGCGAACGTTCGTACAAAATAAGTAAGTTTACTTTTACTTCTTACCTTAAAAACCATGTATGACTTTAGTAAATTATTTGCTTATCTTCTGTTTGTCTACATCATGATTTAACTTTAATTATTAGAAATGAATAACGAAATATGGAGAAAATATAAATATTCAAAGGAAACATAAATTATATATATATTTTTCAGCATTTATTTTGGCATGCTTTGACATGATTCATTTATGTGACTAATCTATATTTCGATAAAAAATCATTAAGTATCATTACAATAGTTTCTTAGTGACACGTGTCATGTAACAATTCACTTGTTAAGCATTTTGGAATTTAATGCTTCTGATAACACTGTTCACAATATTTCTATTTTGAGCATATCCCGGCACTTATTCAGTTATTAAAGTGACATAATTCTCATGTTTACACTGTCAAGCCAAGTTGAATTGGTAATATGTTTCAAATGATTGCATAGTATAATACTGATTGACCATAAATTGATAAAGAAAAAATCTTAAAATATAATATAATCAATACCTAAATTGTACTCTTTTTAAGAATTGAGCGTTACCGATATATTCTGAACGATGTACATAGAAACTGGCTTTGGTCATGTGGATTACAGTTAATATGCTCGTAGTAAAAAATAAAACTGAAATTTGTATATTTTACCAGTTTACCGACCATTGGATTGGCATAATGCCACTGTAAACAAATGATATGTTTTTTGTTCAGCAATGTTACAAATGATAACAATGATACAAATGGTGGCAATATACATTTACCTTACCCATTTTAAAAAGACTAGTATATTCATTATGTAAGGTTACTTCATTCATTGGATTAAATATAAATTTAGCAATATCATTTTTAAAGTAACAGATAAAAATTATAACTTTGTCATTTCCCATTCATTCATATCATTTGAATTTTGTCATAAATATATGACATAAGATTTTATATAAATTCAGATTTTATTGATTGTATCTAAAATAAACATTGGTTATAGGTATAAAACATACATCTATAATATATATATCTATTTATACAATTATCGGCATTTTCTTCTTTTGAAATACTTTTACATTCATTTTTGTTCATTTCATACAACAGAACAGGATATTTATTCACCTGATCAACATTTCAATCGTGTATATAATAGCATGTATAAAAAGCACAGACATTGTCACAAATATATGTTTTTTAATCAGGCATATGTATGCAAATCAATGAATTGCCTACAGAATACATGAATTTATATATTACCTATCCATTAGTTCAAGTTTGCGATTAAAAATAATTTACTGAATTGCATAGCATAAATAATAACAATACATTCATTTTTGGTACTGACTTAAAATATTTTTTTCAGATTAATAAAAAAGATAAAAAGATTTAAACTCGACCCAGATTTTCATTTTATAAAAACATTTTCAATGAAAAATGAAGAAATTTTTTCTTTTCACTTTAAATTTGGACAATATTAAAACATGAATGTATTTCAGTAATTTACAACAAAATTATTATTAAATGTGTATATTCTTTATCTCGTAAAACAAAAAGAATGGAATATTATGTAGATAAAACTAGATACAGGGATTTTTATAGGAATTATTAAATTGGAAATGATAGCTTTAAATATTCTATCTCCTATTAAGATATTAAGCCTAACAGAATCAACTTATATATCAAATAATTAGATATGACATCGGAATATTTCAAAATAATATCATTTAATATTCTTTTATAATTTTTTTGGTTTATTTTTTTTGCACTTCATTTATTATTATTATATTTCTAATAATTCTTAAAATAACATGCTTTTGAGTATTGGTCGCGATTACGTAAGCAACTATCTCAACAATTTTTAGGGTAATGGAACAAAACATTCCTTTACGAACTTATTTTTTTAAGTTATATATAAATATATATTGCAAAAAAAATATTAACACACTTATTTGACATGGTATGTCAGAAGTATTTCAACGCACAAATGAACGAATGGACGAAAGAGTGAATGTTCGTATGTTTTTTTTTAATTTCTAAAATAATATGGACTTTCCATAGGTTAATTTAAATATGTTAAACTTTATATTGAATCAAATAAAGTATAGAAGAAGAAGAAAAACAGTAGAAGCAGAAAATTGTATACAACTTTCATATTTACATGTATCTCGTTATTCATGAATACTATTACATTAAAAACATTTTGTCACGGTTACTATCAAATATAACATAAATAATGATTTATTTATTTTTAACCGGAGAATAAGCTCAAATACTTATGAAATAAGTTAATGTATAGAAGTAACACATTTCAAAGTAACAAGGTATCAATAAGTAAATATAATGAACTATAATATGAACTACATAATAATGAAATATAAGGAACGTTGTTTTAATCTAGGATATGAATTGAGTAAATCATTTTTTTCAAATTGGCGAACTAGATAGATTTGTTGAGATTATATGTGCAATGTGTAGACTTTCTTCAAACAATCAGTTGTGTAAAAAACGTTCAGCTTGTTGTTTTTGATGTATACAATACAAACGTATAAGAACTTTCTTTTTTCAGAGGATACATGATCTGTGAATATTGAATTTCTGCAAATATATATCATGGAGGAACAGTTGAGTTTTCGATTACACATTTTGTTTGTACCTTTGGTCGTGGCATTTAAAGATATCGACATGGAAAGGGAATTGAAACTTTCCCGACGGTTAATTTGCAAACGGTAAGTGTAAATGCAATTTTATAGATAAAAAGCAACACATACTTCAATGAACCGTAGTCCTGTATGCAGAATATGTGTTCATAAATATTTATGTATACCTTTTTAATACATACATATAAATAGAAAATTGAGACATATTAATAAATAAAATGCGCGTTATCATTTTTCAAATTTTCACAGTGTCTTGTCGGAATAGGAATACTTCCTTCTAAATTATGCTAGTAATTAAAATTTAAAGGAAAGTCTTTCAAATTGATATCATGTAAAAAAATAAACATATAATAAACAGAAAATATATTTTTCTATAAAATACGCGACATATTTTCATCTTGTGGTATATAATTATCATATTTCTCTCGTTGCTACCGCCACTAATAAAATATCTATTTTCATTCCACACAATGAAAACAAATCCTGTATTTACAGAAAACACTTGTATTGTATTTATTCATATAAATATATTTTTCTTTCTACTTTGCAATAATTGAAAAAGCCAAAACATGAAAATACAATTCACTGAACAAGAATTATATAAATAAATCCGTAAATAAAAAAAAATAAATAAAGCAAAATGATAATAATAAACAACAGTCTGTACTTATTCAATAGTAATATTTTAACAACGGCCAACATTTGATTGGCTTAAGAGTTAATTTACTTTAATTGCATGTATTTTGACAAAGAGATAGTTATATATGTCTCTGATTTTTCATGACTATTTAGATCATCTTAACTTGAAGAAAAATGTATTTTACGTAATATTTATCACGGTTGTGTTTTTTTATGTAAAATAGTCGCAAACACCATTTTTAAATACCTATCTTCGTTTGGGTTTCATTTTGTCTTTTTTTGTACAACGTACTCTGTTTTACATATTGAACTATTTTCAGACATGGTCTATCGACAGTAGCTTCCGAGAAAGAGAAAAGTTCTAGGACAGATTGTTGATCAGAACTCGTTTTTCAAACTGTACAATCGAAATGTCGTGAATAATTGAAAGTGTGTTAAATGCAAACAAGGCTTTTAAAATACCTGCAGAAAAACAACTTGATAGTATTTGTCTTTTTCAAATTAAGGAAAACGTGGATGACTTTTATTTGTATCTAGAAATTTGTTTTGCTAGTATGATTCTTTCTTCAAAAAATGATAATTTTGTACATTTATTTTCAATCGTTTCACCTGTTTTGTCATGACATGATGTCTCCTGGTGAGCTGATACCTCTTGTATATTACATGTTTTCACAAGATTATTTTAAACCGGATCCTAATACATGTATATACCTTGATGTAAAAGAAAATGGTGAGATTTTTATCTTAATTAGTTTATGAATTATATTTATAACTTCGAGAACATCTAAATGGTTTCTATAAAAATAAAGTCAACAACCGAGGATATCCAAATGTTTACTATAACAAATTTTGAAAATTTCAAAATGATTTATTGGAATCAACTTTGCATTTTGAAGTCTAGAAACTGAAACAATCTGTAATCTAAAAAATAAAAAAACATGTATGTTAAAATATATTTAAGAATGTATTTTTTGTTAAAAATGTGTGTATTGACTATATTCTTAAAGATACACTATGCTCATCTTTGTGTAAAATATTTTTATCTTAGAAATGTATTGAAATCAATGAAATTCTTCCTGAATATGTTTAATTTGAATTAAATAATGAAGAAACTATGTATGGGAAGCAGCATTCCTTATTACGGGTTAATTAAAGTTGGTATTTTCTTAAAAAAAAACTGCCATTTTTTTTAATGACACTATATATTTATATTGTGACCACCTGTAGTATGTAGAGTTCAAAACATAACATATCTACTTTAAATTAAGCCGGACCCTGTTTATTTTATACATACAAAGTGACTTTGTAGCAATTATCAATATTTTTAAAAATCAAATTTGAGCATAGTATATCTTTAAGTGTATGAGAGCATCTGCATTAAAGATAATATTCACGCTATAAAATGTATAACTTCATATCCTGCTGTGTGTATGTTTACTATCCATGCTTTAATAATTTTATAGACTGCTATTTTTATCATTTATTTACAGGACTGTTGTGTTGTTTTGTTTAGTAAAGGCCGTTGCCAATACCACCTATGTGTTCAATCTATAATTGTTCAATTGTTCAAACCTTATTTCATGTGAGATATGTATATAAGATATGAATATATATATATATTAAACTGCATAATTTTATGTTGTTTTTGTATCATTTGTTATTCAATTTTCCATTGGAAAACATACTTACGGAAGCTTATCAGGGCCTCCACTTATCAAAAAGTTTCATGTCATGTCAACTTGTTTCTTCTCGTTTTGACTAAAAACATTCCATGAAGACGTTCAACATAAAACATTGTATCATTAATTTTATTGAGAAATGCAAAATCATCTTATGGTCGCGAATTAAAATAAATCGACTTAGCACAAAACATCTCACGAACTGTAGGCACTAATACGCTTCCGTACATATTGTCTTTAGTTGAGTGCTCGTGTAAAAACTTACTTGAGTGCTTATAAAGAAGGGAAAATGAAATGTTCTTGAATCATGTTAACTATAAGGTTTTTAGACAATTGCACGATTTCAAAATTACTTATAAATATTCATAAGGCGATAGTTTTTCGTTTGAGTGAAATATTGAATATATTTTCACAAAACATGATAAAAATTTATAATTTTTACGACCCATATTTTAATGAAAACATAAACATAAACTTTTTATTTAATTTGACCCTTCAAGAAAAAAAGTTGTTTTCGAATTCATCTATTTGCTACGCATTTGCAACTGTACAGTGCTCAGTAATACATTGATTACTATAAATGCGTGACACGGTTCGAATTCTAAACACATCTCTGTCTATGATAAAATCATAACCATTATGATCAAATAAAATCATAATAATTTCCGACAATGAAGTGAATTGCAGAGAAATATGCGAGACAGAAGTCAGTGATTAAGTCAGTGCGCATGCGTACGCATGCATTAAGAAATGGATCTGTCTGATAAAATTGGAAAGGAAGTCAGTCCAGACTAATTAATCTTCAATTGTAAAGGTATTAAAAGTAAATCGAGCATAATATCAGATGCAATGAGTGAATTTATCTTTTTAGTGTATAGATACATTATTTTCATGTCATATATGGAACCATAAGTCTGCACTTTTCAAAATCTAAATACAAAGTTATATTTTAGGAGTGTTACATGAAAAAATGAGTCAATCAACGAGCATGTCCTAGAAAGACAATGAGTGCAGGTAACTTATACATGTACTCCAATAAACGCGCTGTGCATGATTTAATTCGTTTTCAACAACTATGATACAAGAAGTATAACTGCACAATGTATTTTGCTCCTGGCATAAACAAAATTGTCTCTCCTGTTTGAACAAGAAAATCTTTTTTTTTTGTTATTTGTTTCTTCTCTTTTCTTTTGAAACAACATGGTCTTGCATATAATCGAATACAGTTTAAGTAGTGTTTGATTGTTATATGATATATAATAAAAGTCCATGCCTGTCAAATGGTACATTCTGGCAAGTTTAATGGATTAGCTATTATTTTAGAACTGAAAATTCACTGGAAAGTAATATATATCCTCTTTTAATTATCACTCATTAAAAGTAATATGTATCATAATTAGTTAAATTTGTCTCACTGCTCTAGAAGCAAGTTTTTATTCTGATTTTTTTTACAAAATTTATTTTTCAGTATGTGCTTGCTTTAATTGAACGCAGTCCTTCCTTGTTGATCTTGTTATTCATATGTTGTGACAACAAGCTAAAATGAATTTGTACTTTTGAGATGTGCATTCTAATCGTTTTACTAGTAATTGAATACTTCTCCTGGTAGCATGTTAAGCACGTAATGTGTGTATTACTGATTTTGTACCATAGTATGTGTGTCCGATATATTGTTTATCCGACAAATGGTTTATCTGATGATTAGTCTGATACAAATATTTTTCGCCTTCGGGTTACCTATCTTTCATTAAGTAAGATTTTTTTTATTAATGACGACAAACCTTAAGCTTTTTTATTAAAATTAATAAATGCGTAAAATAACAGTTTTAGAATATAATGGTGACCTTTATTCAACTCACTTTTCATTAAAAAGACCTATTTTCGACCAGAACGTCTGTCCTTTAATGACCTGAAAATATCTTAATGTTACAGTTGTTTAATATTTATACACTTCTGAATTCATAAAGTCGTTGTGTTATCTATAAAGGTCTTGCTAAAGTCGTCAAAACGAGTGAACGATAAGGAAGGAAGGGAAGTACATTTTTATTTTCTATTCTCGACAGGCCTTCAATAGGCACAATTCCCATAATTATTATTAGTTTTCATTTAAAAAAATAAACATGTATTATTTGGATATTCCTATGAATTGTTGCTTACAAAAATGTCGATGTTTAATAACATGCGTACGATGAGAAATAATATCACGTCAATATATTCTATATGTATGTATGCATATATGAAATATCCCATCATGTATTTCACATTTGCCAACAACTTCCATGTGTAATTGTTTCGTGGTTTTGTCTAATACTAAATACATCTAAAATATTTATTAATTGTATTATACACCCTTTAAAATATACCAATTCTCTCTAAACTTTGATTAAATTACTTTCAAAAGATAGCATATGAAGTTTTCTTGTATCATCATTCAATTATTATGCAGCCATCAATTAAGCATATACATGCACTCGGTAAGAGGTTTTTTAGGCCACTGATATTTTAAAGTAACTGACATCACAATGCCAACAACCTCCCACTTGCTGTACCTTACACCATGATAAAGTCAACCTATTTCTATGTTCTCTTCTTATTTACAGAAATCATTAACAAGACATAATGAGAAAAGGCAAGACATATTGTTAATAATTATAGTCTTATAATTGCGTATGTTTTAATAATACATGAACATTGTTGATTTTATAGGAAGAGCACCGAGCTATCTAGCCTGTACAAACCAAGTCATATACAGGTTTTGAAGCTTTGTCAAATAAAAGTAGTATCGTATTCAACAGTGATTGTTATAAGACTGAACAAAAAATTAAAAGGACAAAATTTGGATATTGTGATATCAAATGATACAAAAGCTGAATTCAATATATAAGTGTTTTTTCTCTTTAAATTATCATGCCTGATATAAAATTACGAGAGGTAGTTCTTATGTTAAGACATTATTAAGCTAATAGTGGTCTTCCTGGAAAATTGAAATAATACTCGTTCATTCTTTCAGAGTTGTTGATAGCGTCTTTCTTAGTGTACAATATTGCTGCGGGTAAACTGTATTGCATTTTGGTGTAACTTATTATATAATAAAAAGTATACTAAAAGCATGCATTACTTAGCAGCATGTGGAAAACAAAAGAAAATTATTAAATCAATTTAAATTTTTGTCGTATTTGCTCTTACTTAAAATGTTTTTTTTAAATGTATTTAGTCATATCCGAAACAGTGAGTTTAAATTTTAGATTAGTGTTTGTTACCCAAGAAAAAAAATGATGACATAAATTCTGTATGGCCTGCAAGTGGTAAATCTCATTAAAATCAGATCATCGTTTTCGCCCCGTTACTCTTCGCTACCTAGAAGCGTCAGTTAAGATATGATTTTTATGAGATTGGCAAGTGGTTTAAGTTATGGTTTGATTATTTACACAGAGCGAGTATGACACTCTGATTATAAAATGAAAAGTTTGGGCTGTTTAAATAAACTTAATGTACCACATTATTTGAAAAATTGACCGATATCATTATACAGAATATGATTTCAACCACTAAATATGTTAATAAATAAATACCTGAAAATGTTGCTGCGTAGCGATATCTTCAGTTTAACTTTCCGCGGAATGTAACGAATTATCAAATACTTGATCAAAACCACGTATGTTGTTTTTTTCGTGTCTATATTTTTCGCGACAAGAGAACTGAAAATAGATCTCATTGATGGTTCTAGGCGTATTGCTGTGGTGTTCTGTAAAATGAACATTATTTTCAACAAAAATTTTCAACAAAAAGAGGGGGTGTGGGTGTCACAATTGCAAGTTTCATATATCATTTAGTATTATTCAAAAGTATGTCAAAATGATAAGACACCTAGTTAGGGAAAATTATTGCCACTTTAGAATTGACATATATTTTCCTAACCCCAAACCTTGTAGAACATACATGTTCAAGTAAGATACCGATACTTTGTGTTGACATACACTAACACATATTGTTATTTGTAGATAACATTTAAATCCTGAATTATGTCGGTAGATGAGAAATTATGAGCTTATAATCACCTACAGTAAAACAGAATTACAAGTAGCAAAATAAATACAAAATCAAATAACCAAAAATAGAAGTGTTTACTTTTGATGATT